ATTATATATATATATATATATATATATATATATATAATTTAATTAAACTAGTAAATTCTTTATAATTATAATTAAAATGATTAAATAAAATAAAATAATGAATTATCTGTATTATCTGTAATGTACAGTATAAAACAGAAATGTACAGACAGGGCTGTTGTTATATTTTGTAAATAAATCAAGGCGGAACGATTAACTTTTACTAACTGCCTACAGTTTTCAGCCGATAACGTCTGGCCGATATATCGGTCTATCACTGAACAACAGTCCCAGGCGGCCCTCACCCTTCCCGGATGATCTTATCGGTGTCTTTGGCCACGTGATAATAACTGATGACGTGATCCAAGCAGGAGAGAGTTTTGTCCACGTTCTCCTGCAGACGCTGCAGATTCTCCGTCTGCTTATGAACCGGGATGATGGAGTTCTCCAGCTGCATCAGACGGCTCTCGAACGAGGACAGGATGGACACCTGACAGAATGTTAATGTAAGCTGTTATTTCAGTTTGACCTTAAAACTAGAATAACACACACACATACACACACACACACACACACACACACACATACATACATACACACACACACACACACACATACATACATACATACACACACACACATACACACACACACACACACACACACACACATACATACATACACACACACACACACACACACACACATACATACATACATACATAAACACACATACACACACACACACACACGAATTGATCATCTCTCACCATTCCTTTAGAGAGTTGATCACTCTTCTCCAGGCTTTCACGAATAAAAGACAAAGTTTCTTGCTCCTGTGGAAAACATACAGGTAACGTTATATATGCATACTGTAAATTATATTAACCTCTCAAGTAAATACACCCCATCAACAGCATTGTTGTTTTTTGACATTATAACTTTTCTATCATTAAGCTTAATTAAATGCTTAGTGACATTATTTTTCATGGCAATCACGCAGATTCTCATTCTAGCTGCTCGCGAATGACATTAATAACATCCGCTGCCTGATCACGCGATTCTCCTGTTATTCTTCATTCTTCCTGTTTTGTCTCTCTTTAACGGACCTGTTTGAGTTTATCCTCGATCTCTCGCTTCCGAGCGGACGCGTCTTCGGTCGGGATCATCCTGACAGGCAGATATGTGACAGAAATGACAGCTGGATGCAAAATCCACAATAATATTACAACATTTAACGTGAAGACAGCGGAAATATAGTTTCCGGCAAAATGGCAGTGAAGTGAATCGCAAGTACAAAATAAAACTCCGGTTTTTACTTTTTTGTTTTTTATTGTTATTTTGTTTTGTTTATTTGTGTTTTGAGTCCAAAATCCAAGTCCAAATCCAAATATCAGCCAAAATAAATCAATATATATAAAGTGCTGTCAAACGATTAATCGCATCCAAAATAAAAGTTTTTATATATATATATATATATATATATATATATAAATGAATAAATACGGCATACAGAACAATCTTACCAAAGTGGGTTAATCATCAAAATTAACCTCCAAAAAATTTTTTTTTTAACTTCCACCTGCTTTTTTTGCAATGCATGATTTTGGGATTTAAAGATCACCTTAATTACTTACTTATATATAAAATAATTGGCCAAAACTATATTAACCACAAATTCAACATAACGATTCAGAGAAAAAAAAAAAGCATTAAAAGCTCTTTAAGATTGCAGATAACTTGCAATTTATGTGAGAATAATGATATTAATTCATCATTAAATTATATTAATATTTATAGGGGACATTAACATGTCATACAAAAAATGACAAAAATGAAGAAGAAGAAACTGATTTAAAATTTTAAGTGAAGAGGAATTTCTAATGGTATTAGAAGCCACTTTGATTTTGACAAGTTTTAATGATGTGGTGTTTGTGGGTGACTTCACTGGCCAGAGACTCAGGGTGGCTCCAGTGATGTTCACCCAAAACTCCATTTATTTCCTAAACTCACTGAACAATCAATCAATCAATCAATCAATCAATCAATCAATCAAGCAATCTTCATACAATTAACTACAGAAAGTATACAGTAATTTACAGCAGTATATAAATATGTACATCTGTTTTTGTCACTGTCTGCAAAACAGAAGCATAATGCATGATGTCATGCAATATTATATAGCAAAACATACTCTGAACACTTTAAATTAGTTAGATATCAAACAAAAACTATAAAGAAGTTAAAGGTATTTTAAATGTCAAGCACATTATTTAACAGGTTGTGGTTGACAAAAAAAAAAAAAAAAATCCCACAAATCAGTAACCATTTCTAAAGCAACCACTGCCCTTAATTTTAACCGGTCTTAAAAATATATAACATTAAAAGTTCATCAATGGAAATAGTGAGAACTCTGAAGGTCAGACGCTCCTTCCTAAGACTCCTCTTGTTTTGTGAAAGCCTAAAAGACAATCAGATGGAGTTACATACTGTACCATCAGACAATAAAAATGAAATTAGGATACTATTAAGAAGATGTTCGTGAATTACAATAACACACCTGTTTTAGAAACTGTCGTCCAAAGTAATTTGTGGCCATGTTCTTCAGGTTTGTTCGGGCTCCTACTTTACAGCGCACATATCCGTAGAGATTGGCTCCCTGTAACACCACTCCCAAAATCACCACGGCCTGAGAGAGAAGACAGTATCACTCACAGAACAACATCACTGGAAGATGAGACACAGACTGCTGAAGAACTGCTCAGAACTCACCAGCCATTTGATCTTAAAGGAGACGAGCGTAAAGAAAGCAAAGATGACCCAGACGACGGGACAGATGATCAGACCCAGCCAGAAGATACGAGACTCTGCGTTTGAGGAGCGGGATGCTGAAGACTGATTCCCACCGGCCTGCAACCACATATAGACAGGACGTCAGTGTAACACAACAAATGGAGATAATATTCACACATTTAGCCAGAAATGCAAATTCATTGTCATATACATGCACTAGCGTTCAAAAGATTGGTGTTTTTAATAGAATTATTCATCAAGGACGCATTAAATTGATCAAATGTGACAGGAAAGACATTTATAATATACACAAGTTTTCTATTACAAATAAACGCTGTTCTTTAATTGCTTGGTAGCACATGGCACTGAGGAAGGGTTAATACCCGAAAACGTTCTGCACATTTGCACCTTTTTGCACATATTTTTGTGACCTCTGAGCATTAAATGAAACAAGCCTCTTTGGCTGAATCTGGACGAGTGCGGAACTCTTTCATCTTTAATAATCAGAAATGTTTCTTGAGCAGCATATCAGAATGATTTCTGAAGGATCATGTGACACTGAAGACTGGAGTAATGATGCTGATTAATGATTCAGCTTTATATCAGAGGAATAAATGACATTATACAATATATTCACTAAGAAAACATTTATTTTAAATTGTAATAATATTATACAATATTACTGTTTTTATTACATTTTTGATTAACCCTTGTGCGACCTTTTGGACATTTTTGTCCTTTTCAGTTTTGTTTTTTTGATCATTTTGCCTGTGTTATTGCCAACTGCATAAATGTTGGCACAGGTGTGTATTTTTATTGGAATTTTACTATTTCACTTCCATTTCCTTTAATAAATCTGCTTTGCACTAGGCACAAAAAATTGTTCCTCTCAGGACCTTAAGGACAAAAATGTCCCCATTGAAACCCATTAAAACTGCTATTTTTAATCGCAGTGCCATTTAACTGTAAAATTATGCAATTTTTGTTGATAGGCTTTCATTATATTGGCAACGCTTTAAAATTAAATTTTTTACTATTTTTTACCACATGGTGCCATTTTTTCAGGTTTGACCTATAAAGAAAATACTCGCTTTATTTCTGTTTTCTGCATATTATAGAGCCAATTGGATAAATAATGCAGCTATAATTGTGTGGGTGTGTTGGTATGGATGTCAGAGTGTGGTTTGTATGTGTGTGTCATAAAAAAAAAATTGTGCGTGTGTGTTCTTGTAATATTTGAGAGAGAAACTCTACTGCAAATCACAAATCCAACCACTGTGTGCACCAGCAGAGTTTTGCTGGCATCTACTGGGGAAAATTTGGTACTGCGCCCAAACAACATCTTACTGAAAGCTCATTTTTGGAGATATCAACCTCAAATTTGGAATACAACTTGTTTAGATTTATGGCTTTGATTTCTAGCAGGTATAGAGTTCAACATGTTTCATAAAATATATATTTTATATAAAACATCGTTCATAAATCATTTTCATAAACCTCAACATCTAGAACTTTTTTTTTTGGTTTCACTTTTTAAACTTTTTTTACTTCAACAATAATCTGCCATGGGTCTTCTTTAAAATGAGACCAAACTTAACTGTGCTCCCAAGCTTCAAATTTTTATGACATGGACATTTTTGTCCACTATGGACCTATGTGTAACTTTTTTTAATCGACGCACAAGGGTTAAATAAATGCAGCCTTTGTGAGCACATAATTTTTTTTTATATCAATCATGTTTTTCTGTGAATAACTACACAAATTTTAAATCTATTTTTAAATATTTTATGCCACTCTACTGAAGACTGTGTGTGTGTGTAATAGTACCTTTCTGGACTCAAACACCCAATGGTTTTTTCCATCATCATCCACTTGATTCCACCAGCGCAAACCCACCATCAGACGGCCGGTTATATTCTACAACAAGACAAACAGGACAGGTTACATGCTGAGTAGGGCTGTCGCGATAACTTGGTTTCGGTTTCATTGTCTTCTGAATATGACCTCGTTAGTTATATCGTAACACATACACACACAAATTATTTATATATATATATATATATATATATATATATATGTATATGTATGTATATTTATGGCGGTAAAACCGCATACCGCGCTATTGAGCCACTCAAAATTACCGCAAGGGAAATTCCCTCACCGTGACAGCCCTAATGCTGAGGTTTAATATGAAGGGTTAGAGGTTTGTTTGGATCTTTAAATATGAGTTAACGACTTAACTTCCACTAACTCCAGTAACTGTAATGATTTACGAACACCTGCTCAGTTATTCTAAACACAAACCTTCACAGTCCAGAAGTCACATGACAGGAGGAGGATGATGGTGACCATACAGGCGATGAAGGATCCACCGACTGAACCACACAGCAGGTAGACCAGGATGGCAGTGACCCGGAAGAACAGATGGAAGAATGAAGCCACCGGATGCCTGGAATCACACACTCGTATATTTAGCTCATTCGTCTAAATGAGGACATACCACACACACCTCACTTGCAATAATTACTATAAACGAACCCAGAACCCTAAACATACTGCATTTTTAGAATGAAAAGTAATTGATTAATAATACATTTAATTAAAAACAAAAATGTATTTAAACTATAATAATAATTGTAATTATTAATAATGATTTATTAAAATTTACTAATAAAAAAGGTATAATTGTCACAATATTATAATTACTATAAACTAACCCTAAACATATTACATTTTTATTAAGAAATGTAATTAACAACAATAACGTATTTAAATATTTCATTATTAAAAAGTGTAGTGATGTTATAATAATATTAAGATATTTTAATTTAATAAAATCGTACTAAAAGGCCTGCCCTACATACTTTTAAAATATCAATAATGCATTTACTTATTTATAATAATGTATTCATGTATTCAAATAATATATTATTAATAACTAATATTATTTTAATTAATAACAATTGCTTTATTTTCCTTCTTCAAATGAGGACGTCCCCAAAATGTACTAAACTAGTCCACAACTGAGAGAAACACACATGATGTTGATGATCTAAACAGACCATAGAACACAACTAATTAATGATGACAACAAACACACCTGATTTTGTTCTTTCTTGCGGCTGAATCTTCCTCAGCATCAAATAAAGCCACATCCTCATCATCGTTTGAGTCCTGGAAGCGAGACAAGACGACAGCTGTCAGGCTCAGAAACACGATTTATAACGACTAATTAAACATTTAATTAAACACAGACCGAGAAAAACTCCACCTGCTGCAGTGAGCTGTTTACTGTCAGAGGACTGGCTAAGCTAAACCCGCTTTGTTCCTTAACTTCAAAGTCATATTAGAGGAACGCAAGCATGCTGTACACATAAACTATGTCTACAACGTTTGAGAAGAATTTATAATAATAAAAAATTGCATATTTGTACTTACCAGCTTCATTTCGACTGCTGTTGTTGTTGCTGGTGCTGCT